TGTAGATAGTTCTACTTGCCGTTTTCTGTTTAATCGGAGGACCATACGTGCTCTTTGCCCAGTGAAACAGAAGTAAAAGCAACCAAGAAAAGAGGAAATGACTGGAAGACAAGGAGAGTCTGCATCTCTCAGCCATAACCAGTTGATTCAGTTTATATATATATAGCGACAATCACAATACATGTAATATTAGGGCACTTTACAGAAACATTTCAACCATCATCATAAAAACAGATTGGTTCCGTTTTCTATCTAAGGAAAAACTAGCTGATTGCATCAACTCCTTGACTGGAGAGCAATCCCTCACACATATTAAGAATATTACAAAAGAATCCCATAGTCTTTTGAATAATTTACCTCAGTTCTGTATATATTTTGAATTTCTGAATGATACCTATTACTTGTATTTATTTATACTCTAATTCCACAGTGTGGGTCACTGACTTTTGTCCAATTAAAGTGACAATATGACATCATACAAACCTAAAGTAAGAGATAAGAGTAAGATGTACTTGCTGGAGTCATTTCTCTATGCTCCAGCTGGTGGTTTCATGATATAAATATATCATAAGTTTTAAGTTTTTAAAATTGTAATGAAACAGCCCCCGGGTAGGAAAGGATTAATTGTTTCTTAAAAACAAATAGAGCTGAAATTAAATAACAAACTTCTGGATGAGTTGACTTGGCAGCTGCAAAGTTTACTTACACCTCAGGTTGGCCTGTAGTGATTTAAGGTATTTGCTGAATTAAGCTGAACCGAATTAAGCTGAAAAAGCTATGCTGTTTTTTTTTTCTTTTCTTAATAAACTACAAGTTAAATTCATGTTGTTGACTAGAAAGTAACAAATTGTGGACATTTAATTACTTTTGAGCTATACCTTTCAATATGCTATTGAAAGATACAGTATGAATATCCTGCGATGATATAGTGGTGCTTAATAAGGACCAGCTTAAAGGAATAGTACACCCAAAACATGATTAGCCTTCATTTTCTACTCACCCCCATGCTGAACAACACTCTGGAG